AGAGAACTATTTAAAATAATAGTTTAGTTCATTTTCCAACTTGGTTTATCATTTCCTCTTTTTTTTTAATTTAAAAATTTTTAACTTTTTTTTTTTTTTTAATTATTATACCAGATAAGACACAGAACTTGTTCTCTTCTCTGAGGGATTTATTGTTCCCTGTGAAGCCTGAGAAGGCGGCCACAACACTCATGGCCAAAGAATAACAACCCACATTTGTCTTTTCAGTCTTGTAGTATCCTCAGGACTGAAGTCTGTCAATGTCCATTTGTCCAGAACATACAAAAGTCCCATGCTTGTTCTGGTGTCCTGGGGACATGGACAGAAGATGACAAATTCACAGGTAGTACTTTCAGTCAACACGAAAGACCTTTCCTTTGGGGTCTGAAAGGATGACTACATCCCAACAAGCAGTGCTGATGCCGATGACCATCTGCATAATAGTCCCTGGACCACGGGGGAATCCCAGCTTTATGGGCTTCCGCGCCACCCAGTACACGTACCCTCCCGCCCCTATCAGCCCCGCCCCTGAAAGCACGTGACAGCTCCAGCAGTTATTAAATAGAGGGGCTTCTGCTGGAGAGGTCGGCGCTCCAGGTGCAGGGAGGGGCAGCGACTCCGCAGAGTTGGTGGCCTCAGGAGGCGCAGGGACCTTGATCGGCTGCAGAGGTTGGGACAGGAAAGAACCCATGTTCAGGAGCTCGGCTTCAGCGATGGGAGTCTACTTTTCCTTCTTTTAAATCATTTCTCTCTGAACTCTTCTGAGGCTGTTATTATCTCAGCCAACTTAATGGGGAGTTAGGGTTTATCAGCTCCTCCACAGATTTGTACCAAGTTCTTTATATACATAAATACTGATACATTTCTCTTTTTATTTTTTATTTTTTTTAACCACCTCTACCTGCCCAACACTTTCTCTTTAGCTTCCTTGCTCCCTTAAAATCTGTGCTAGATTTGAAACTTCTGAGGGATACTGTTCTATTTAAATTCTCAGCATCAGCCTGATCACCATCTACTTAACAGATAGTCTCAGGGACTGTTCGGTGACTAAGATGGAGTTTCTCTTCCAAGTTTCACTGCAAGTTCTCTCTCCAAACGAGTGAGGATTCCGTTAGCTGCCACCAGTTACATTATGGATAATCATAGCTTCACCCAAAAGGAAAACACAGGACCATTTTCTTTTCCTGATCTTAGATGGGGAAACCTTGCAAAATTGGATTCATCCCTGAGAAATATCGTTGCATTAAGTCCTGTTTAATCAGAACTAAGGCTCTTGGCATTTTTTGCTTATCACAGTGACTACCCAGCTAATTGGTGTGAATAGGGAGAACAAGCCTAATCTTCTGAGATTCATAATTAGGATCATTTATTATATTTGGGTGCATCAATCATACACCCAGGATGCTTTTATTTTTGTCACACCAATTTAATCATCCAATTGCTTTTCTCTGTGGATGGAATGAATAATTGAATTATGCATGTTATCAATCCTTTGCCATATGAATTTTGTTAAATCCCTGGATGTTTGCTCTTCGTTTAAAGCCAAAGAAACTTACCTTCAGCAATTTTGGGAATCTGAGAAAGAAGAAACAGGAAGATGGGGAAGAATATGTTTGTCCAATGGAATTGGGACAGGCTTCAGGAAGTACCTCTAAGAAAGGATTTAAACCTGGATTGGACATGCGCCTATATGACGAAGATGATTTGGACCGGTTAGAGCAGGTAAAGGCAACACAATATACCTATTTTATTTAAAGTTCCTCCAGCGGGGCACCTGGGTGGCTCAGTCATTAAGCGTCTGCCTTCGGCCCAGGTCGTGATCCCAGGGTCCTGGGATCGAGTCCTACATCGGGCTCCCTGCTCAGCGGGAAGCCTGCTTCTCCCTCTCCCACTCCCCCTGCTTGTGTTCCCTCTCTCTCTGTCTCTCTCTCTGTCAAATAAATAAAATCTTTAAAAAATAAAAATTAAATAAAAATTTCCTCCAGCAATGAAACACTAAATGGAAACTTGGTGCACTGTGTCTACTAATCAGTTTTTCCTCAAATACCTGAAAATAAAGATAATAATAAAATAATAGTGAACAACTTCCAGGTTGCTTACTATGTCCCAGGCACTGTCCTCAGCACTGAACATATATCAGCTTTCACGGTGACCCTAAAACATACAGAGTGTTGTTATCCTCATTTTAGAGGGAAGGAAACTGAGGCACAGATAGGTTAAGTAACTTACCCAAGATAGAAGAGCTGCTAGAAGAACTGGGGTTCCAAGCTGCCAGGCCGGCTCCAAAGTCTGGCTCTTCACCTACGTTATACTGTCTCTGTATTATGGAAATCTGTGTATTAAATCAAGTCAGAAATACACAGCTCATTTAGTCTTTTCAGTGCGAAGTCCTGGATTTGAATATTGTCCCTTAATCACCGATCCTTTGATGTCATTGTCAACATCAGAGCATTAGGCTAGATGTGCCAGTAAAATGCCGTTTGTCTCATTTTTAGCATCTGGTTCTGTAACAAAAGGAGGTATCATCAGAAGTGTTCTGTTGCTCCCAGCCCGTTCAGTATCACTTGCATTATTTCCTCTTAGACTTTTGCTCATTTTGCTGTACTTTCTTTGAAATTACACAAATGAGTAGGTCATGTGATGGTGTGTTCTTTGCAGATGGAGGATTCAGAAGGGACAGTGAGGCAGATAGGGGCGTTCTCTGAAGGCATCAACAATCTAACAGTAAGTCTGTAAAACGAAGTTAAAATGTTATTCTAAAGGGGCGCCTGGGTGGCTCAGTCGGTTAAGCGGCTGCCTTCGGCTCAGGTCATGATCTTGGAGTCCCGGGATCGAGTCCTGCATCGGGCTCCCTGCTCGGC